TATAAGATAAAACAGTAAACAAATTTGTTGAAGTAGGGCGTTTCTCACTGGGGAACGCTAAGGAAAGGAAAGTAGATGAGTCCGTTAAAGTGGCACTTCTTTCACTGGTTGCAGTCAAGGAGAATGTAGAAGAAAGCACAGTAGACAAATCTGTTGAAGTGGTACTTTTTTGACTCGTTGCAGTCGGGGGGAATGTAGAAGAAAGGGCAGTAGATGAACCTGTTGAAGTGGTACTTCTTTCACTCATTGTAGTGTTTAGGTATGTAGAGGATAAAACAGTAGAACGATCACCACTTCTTTAATATAATTGTGATTGTACCAAAACACAAGAATGACGATCACCACTTCTTTAATATATAATTGTGATTGTACCAAAACATAAGAAGGACGATCGCCAGTACTTGAATATTATGGTAATTGTACCAAAACACAAGAAGGACGATCACCACTTCTTTAATATAATTGTGATTGTACCAAAACATAAGAAGGACGATCACCACTTCTTTAATATAATTGTGATTGTACCAAAACACAAGAATGACGATCACCACTTCTTTAATATTATAGTACCTATATCATAACCTTAGAAGGACAATCGACAGTATTTATTTTAGTATCTGTATCAAAACATAAGAAGGACAATCGACAGTATTTATTTTAGTATCTGTATCAAAACATAAGAAGGACAATCGACAGTATTTATTTTAGTATCTGTATCAAAACATAAGAAGGACAATCGACAGTATTTATTTTAGTATCTGTATCAAAACATAAGAAGGACAATCGACAGTACTTTAATATCATAGTTACTATACCAAAACCTAAGAAGAACGATCGCCAGTACTTTATTATTATAGTAACTATATCAAAACTTAACAAGGACGATCGCCAGTATTTATTGTAGCAACTGTATCAAATTCTAAGAAGGACGATCGCCAGTACTTATTGTAGTAACTGTATCAAATTCTAAGAAGGACGATCGCCAGTACTTATTGTAGTAACTGTATCAAATTCTAAGAAGGACGATCGCTAGTACTTATTATAATAACTGTATCAAAACATAATAAGGACGATCAACAGTACTTATTATAGTAACTGTATCAAAACATAATAAGGACGATCGCCAGTATTGTAATGTTATAATAACTGTATTAAAACCTAAGAAGGACAATCACAATTACTTTAATATTATAGTAACTGTATCAAAACCTAAGACGGACGTTCGCCAGTATAATATAAGGATACAATATACAGGTGTTATTAATGCTTGCTATGGATAACGTTGAAGAAATTTCAAGGTTATTCAGCACACTTTTGATACTTGTGACGCTACAAAACTGGCTTAATAAAATAAAAGTTTGAGGAAAACAGGAAACATTAAAGTTTTGTTGTACTTTTTAACGTAAAACGGTGGCTTAGAGGTAAACGTGTGGGCTTATAATGTTCTTACTCTTGGTTTGATCTTTGGGTATAGCGCAGGTGACACTTTTGAACAAAACAAACATAGAGTCTAATTATATCATCTTGTTTTTTTTTACGAGTGTTTACCTTGTACTAGTAAATTTGCTAAAAACGTGAGAAAAAATAACATATCTGAAAAGAAGCTTCATCCTTATAGAGAGCGTCGTTGTTGGCCTTTGATATTTCACGGGTGATTCAAAACTACAACATATTGAACGGGAACATGCAAAAATATTATATTTTATACACCTTCTTTCGTTAACGACAAAAACAGTTCAATTTTTCCTGTAGTCGTGCTATTTTGGCAACTCACATTTCATTTTTATGTCCATCAAGTTTATTTAGCTTATCCATATTTCTATCAGGAATTGACTCATACCAATGTAAATATAACAAATTGCTATTTATTACTCATAATCAAAGGCATTTAGGGTTAGAAATAGGATTTGATTTGTTTTCGACTAGCAGCATATTGCTTTCTTCCTTTTCCTCTCTCGGTTTATTCGTTCTCTCTCACATCTCACTGATCTCCACTCTTTCTTTGAACTACTGTCCTTTACATTTCTTTATTAAACACATGCCAAGTTGGTATCTTTCTTTTTTGACCTCGTATCTGTCTCTCGTATATCGCTTTTTAATATTTGATAACCATAGAGATTCTTGTAGCCTCCATAGCAGTGAACTTTAAAAAGCAGCAGCTATACCCGTTCACTCCAGTCACTTTCTAATGACTTGAACTCCTGTAATCCTCTATCTTCTTAGAGACTGACCAAAGGCAGCAGCTATACCGGTCAACTCCAGTCACTTTCTAATGACTTGAGTTACTGTAATTCTCCACCTTCTTAGAGACTGACCAAAGGCAGCAGCTATACCCGTCAACTCCAGTCACTTTCTAATGACTTGAGTTACTGTAATTCTCCACCTTCTTAGAGACTGGCTAAAGGCAGCAGCTAAACCTGTTCACTCCAGTCACTTTCTAATGACTTGAACTCCTATAACCCTCTACTTTTATAGAGACTGATTAAAGGCAGCAGCTATTCCCGTTCACTCCATTCAATTTCTAATGACTTAAATTACTGTAATTCTCTACTTTTATAGAGACTGATTAAAGGCAGCAGCTATTCTCGTTCACTCCATTCAATTTCTAATGACTTAAATTACTGTAATTCTCTAACTTCTTATAGACTGACCGAAGGCCGACTGCTTTATTACATTATCTAAATTTCAACCACCGTTAACTTATACCAAACTTCATAACAGCGTTTGATCAAATTATGAAAGCTAGGCAATTTATATTTACCAAAAATGTATATTTCATTATATTGTTTATTCCTTGACGTTAAGTTTGAGATGATAAACTAGTTAATTTCAACCACTGCAAGCCTTTATAATGATTCAAAATTTCGGAGCATGATTTTACAGCAACGAGACACAAGCCATTGATCTTTGTAATCACAGTAAAGCAGGCTGGCCAATCGGTCAAGATCAGTCTTTTCATAAAACGAAAATAAAATATTTAATTTAATTTAAACCCCGATTATTGTTTGTTAATATCATTAGTCGTTCAGTCAATAATTATCTCATTATCTTTCACATTTGACTGTTAAACTTAAAGTATTTTTGTGAACTTTATACTTGGTTCTACAACTCATGCAAAAAATACTAATTTCCGAGATTTGTCTACAGATTCATCGTCTACCTCCCCTAACTCTACAAGGAATAAAATAAGTACCACTTCAACAGATCCATCTACTCTTTTATCCTCTACGTTTCCTACCACTACAAGTAGTGAAAAACGTACCACTTCAACAAATTTGCCTTCTTGTGTTTTGGTACAATTACCATAATATTCAAGTACTGGCGATCGTCCTTCTTAGGTTTTGATACAGTTACTGTAATATTAAATAACTGGTGATCGTTTTTCTTATGTTTTGGTACAGTTTCTATAATATTAAAGTACTAGCGATCGTCCTTCTTAGGTTTTGACACAGTTTCTATCATATGAAAGTATTTACGATCGTCTTTCTTAAGTTTGGATATAGTTATTATTATATTTAAGTAGTGGCGATCGAATTTCTTTGGTTTTGGAACAGTTTCTGTAATATTAAATCATTGTAGATCGTCCTTGTTATGTTTTGTTACAGTTTCTATAATATTAAATCACTGTAGATCGTCCTCGTTATGTTTTGTTACAGTTTCTGTAATATTAAATCACTGTAGATCGTCCTTGTTATGTTTTGTTACAGTTTCTGTAATATTAAATCACTGTAGATCGTCCTTGTTATGTTTTGTTACAGTTTCTATAATATTAAATCACTGTAGATCGTCCTTGTTATGTTTTGTTACAGTTT